TTGACATTTTTACAGATATAAGCTCATCCCGATGTTACACTCATCAAGACCTTTTATTTGAGTACCCACATCAATTTTTTCATATATTTATATATATTATATATATGTATATATGAAAAATATATAAAAATGCATGTGGGTACTCAAATGAAAGCTCTTGATGAGTGTATTATTGGGATGAGCTTATATCTTTTAAAATGTCAACATTTGAGAAAATACAGTGCAATTTAACAAAGGTCATTATTTAATAAATCAAAATTTTAATCTTTTTTAGTTCACTAGTCACGGCAGTCACATAGTGACTGTAAGGTTGCTAGTTTTTCGCATTAATTTAGTTATAAAAATAAAAAAATTTAAGTTTAGTATTAATTTAAAAAAAACTTTCAGGCCTCACCAAAACCAATAAGAAAGACATCATCAATAACATTGACAGCGAACCAGCCTGCAATTAACCACATCAATACTGTGGTGATTACTTCAACCAACGATTCAGAGACTGCAGTAATTCACGAATCGACTTTGTAACGGACAATTTGAGCCAGATGAAACTCTGGCTACCTCACATGGATGCGGGATTTATTAAACGGTTTATTAATGTGCAGAAAGATAAACAATTCCAACGAATTTTGTATTTGCTAGTAGTTGTTTAGAATATTTTAATACTTGAGATCCAAATATTTACGCTGATAAACAATTAATTGAGCGGGTTATGCGTTAAGAATGTGTGTAAATAAATGTTATGATCTGGTATTTGACAACGCAAGTCCGTGACAATAAGCAAATACGTTGATAAACTTTTAAATCTAATGTGAGTGCAGAAGTATGAGTATGTTATTATACTTTTATTATTAATATTACTATTATTATTATTATTATTATTATTATTATTATTATTAATTTGATATAAATTTGTTTATGTGAGAATTTTCCAACATATTTGACTGTGAATTAATGATAAACGCGTTTAGTATTGAGCCGCGGTTTATAGTTATAAATTGATATAAACAAAGCAGCTCGATTTTATTATTAACTAACAAAATCGCCGCGGCGCTTTTAGACATTTAACATTTATATAATGTATTTATATCACCTACCATACTAGTGGCCTTACTCTATCAAATAATATTTTTAAAAATTATTATTATTATTATTTAAGGTGTTTAATATATATATACGTACATATATACATATATACAGGGTATTCCATGCCAAATCGACCCCTTTAGATTTAGCTGAAACTTTATCATTCTTTTCTACCCTTTGAAAAACATTTTTAATAATTTTTTCAAATTTTTTTGTCCAACCCAAAAAAAAGTTATGAAATTTTCAAAAAAATGGCTTTTTTATTTTCAAATAGCCATAACTTTTTGTGATATTGACCTTTGGGTACCTTTTTTTTTAATTTTTATATTTGAATGCACTTTTTGAAAAAATACACAAAAAAAATTAAATACGAATATTTTTTCATAGTACGTCATTTTTTTATTTGTTTATTTTAATTTCTCAAAAAAAAACTTTAATCAATTTGACAACTAGTTATTAAATAAATAAATAAAAACTTTTTTTTTTTTTTTTCAATTAAATAAAAAAAATTCGGGAATAGTTGTCAAATTGATTGAAGTTTTTTTTTGAGAAATAAAAATAAAAAATGACGTACTATGAAAAAATATTCGTATTTAATTTTGTTTGTGTATTTTTTCAAAAAGTGCATTCAAAAGAAATAGTTAAAAAAAAAAAGTACCCAAAGATCAATATCAAAAAAAGTTATGGCTATTTGAAGATAAAAAAGCTATTTTTTTGAAAAATTCATAACTTTTTTTTGGGTTGGACAAAAAAATTTGAAAAAATTCTTAAAAATGTTTTTTAAAGGGTAGAAAAAAATAATAAAGTTTCAGCTAAATTTAAAGGGGTCGAGTTCAAAAGCGGTCGATTTGGCATGGAATACCCTGTATATATTATTATTATTCGGATACTGTTTTTTTTTCCACAATTATACTTGTAATGTAATGTAATGTATTGAGCATTTTCAAAGTAACATGCACCAATTAGTGTGAAGAAAATTTTTACAACAAAAAGTTAATAAATTAAAAAAATTTGATATTTTTTTTTATTTTTTGAGCGATATTAAAATTTTAATAATTTATTAACAATGTTAAAAAAAATTTTCATCAGTAAAAAACTATAAAATAGAATAAATTTTTGTTGATTGAAAAAAATATCAAGTTGATTAATTTAAATAACGTGCTGTAAAAATTTTGTTCAACACAAAAATAAAACAGAAGTTTATAATGAAATTAACAGAGCCAAAATGTAAAAAAAAAATTATATATCAATAGTCTGACAATGATAATGTTATTTACACTAGATACAGTATGTACTGTACGGATTTCTTCCTCTAATAGAATACTTTGGTGATTTTAGACTGTTTGAGTAATTATAACAAGAACAAACAAGTTAATAAAATTAACTAAGTAATAATAGTAATAAACTGATGATCTTTTTAAACAACTACTTTAAGCTTAAACTATAAACTGTTAGTTGATAATTTTGTTTTTGTAATAAATTTTATTTTTTTTTCTTTCTGTTTGATTTGTTATCATGTATTCTCAATTCAGTTTTAATTAACTTATTTGAAGTCGAAATTATAGTGAGAATATTAAATAACGTTTATATATAAATATATAAATGTAAATACTACATATAAAGTTAAAGTGTAGTAAAAAATATTTAAGTTATTTTGAGGTAACAATTTTATTACTAGTCACGTAAAAAATATAATATTTGGACTAAAGTATAAATCAAGTAAATATACGATATCAAATTTTATTTCAAACTTTTAATTATTATCAAATATATATATATAAATATATCAATGTATTTTTTTTTAATATAATGATAATGTACGTTCGTTAAACTGACTGATTGTAATTTTGTTAAATAAACGAAATATATTCCATGTATTTGAAAAATATTTGTTTAATTTTAAATAAGACATACCTAGTATTTAAATTTGGAAAATTAAGTTTTTTTTTTTCATTTTTATAGTTATCGTGTGTTTAGTTATGTACACAGAAAATTAAATGTCAAATAGACAAGTATTTTTAAAGGTATGAGTATATTTAATTTCTTGAGCCATTTAAGAGCGTTATAGCACTTTAATGGAATTAAGGCTGAGTAATTTTTAACAAAACAATAAATTCTTAATCTATATTATTAAGAGAGCAAGAAAAATTTTGTGTCCAGGATAGTTATATGATAAAATCGGTTTTTTTAATTAAATTTAGTGTCATTGCTAAGGTCTTGATTTGAATTTGTCTTTTCAAGGTTTCATATCATTCTCACCGATAGTCAATTTATTATGATAATTATTAAAATTAAATTATTTGAGTGCATTCGAAAATCCTCTATCTCTAGATACATAATTAAGAAATGACCTTGTATCTTGTGAACTATTGACATTTTTAAAGATATGAGTTCATCCTGGTGTTACACTCATCAAGACCTTTCATTTGAGTACCCACATCAATTTTTCATATATTTATATAAATCGTATATATGTATATATGAAAAATATATCAAAATGCACGTGAGTACTCAAATGAAAGCTCTTGATGAGTGTAACATCAGGATGAGTTTATATCTTAAAAAATGTCAATAATTAAGAAATTACATTGAATCTTCTCAACTAATGACATTTTTAAATATATAAGCTCACCCCGACATTACACTCATCGAGACCTTTCATTTGAGTACCCACATCAATTTTTCATATATTTTATATATTTATATATTTTACAAATACCATATATATAAAATATATAAAAAAAGTCATGTGGGTACTTAAATGAAAGGTCTCAATTAGTGTAACATCAAAATGAGTTTATATCTTAAAAAATGTCAATATTTACGAAAATACAGTGCAATTTAACAAAAGTCATTATTTAATAAAGCAAAATTTAATTTATTTATATTTCACAAGTCACGGCAGTCATATAGTGACTACAAGATTGCTAGTATATATAAATAGAATTTTTTTGAGTTTGGAATATCGATGTTTCAAATCAAGGATATCATCTTCACCGAAAACAAATTTTTTCTAAACAAATACCCTTCTGGAGATCGTCTACAAGAGCTATAAAAATGATTATTGACAAAAAAAAAAGATCCTATTTTTAAATTCAATAGTATCCAATTAATGTACATCGCTTTTTCATATTAATTAATTAAAAAACTACATAAAAAAAATTCCTTCTTCCAAGTGCGCATAACCTCTTAATAATATTAGTATCTTCACATTTAAAAAATCAAAATAATCAAAAAAATTAAAAAAAACCATGAACAACTAACCAAAAATTAACTTCCATCCTAATCACTCTCACAAACATTTTTTTTATAATTTCATATATTATCTTCCTTCACAAATTTCTTCAACTGTCACAAAAATCAAACAAAAACTCCGAATTATCAGTAGAAAATTAAAAGTCGCGCCAAGTTGGCAGCGCGCCACGATTGGTCGAAAAACCCGCGGCCATGTTTCTTGACAAAATACAACCGGTCAGTCGTATCCAGTCGAGCTGCGAGCTCCGTTGTGCAAACATCAGTGTCATAGTGTATGGAAAGTTACTAAAATTGGACTAAACACTCAGGTAAGTCCCAACTTAAATTAAAATAAAAATAAATAAATATCAACAACAATAATCACAATTTTATTTCTATTTAAATTTTCAATTAAAATTAAATAACAATCCCAACTAATTAAATAAATTCCCAAACTGTAGGTAAGAAAAGCAAATCTCCAGATCTTATCCAGAATTGCTATTTATATTTATAACTATTAAGAAGAATATATCATATAAAAAATATAATATATATTTAATTAAATATATATTAATATTTATATTAATACTTCCTGTAGACTGTAAAACTTCCGTGATCAGGCTCGGCGTTGGTTCCTCGTCTCGTAATAATACATCGGGGATTATCCCCAGGGTAATCCGTAACAACAAGTCAGCGCCGCTCCCTCGAGGAAGACGGGACCAGGTGGCGCTCACAGTTGGCTCTTGTGCTTGTGCCTTGTGTGTATAAGACTCTCCTAGGGATCGATACACGGTACACCCGTGTACATACATTTATATATATCCGTACTCAATACAGATATATATTTATTTATATACATATACATCCATCCAGGATCATTTATCCATAGGATGAGAGAGCTAAGTAGTACGAGTGTTATGTGGAAGTAGTATTATATAGAGTACGCGTGATATTGCGTGTGTTGATACTACTCACACAAATAAAAAAAAATAAAAAAAAAAAAAAAACACCCACACATCGGACATTCACCGACTGAACATATATAGACATACGTCATACATCCTTGTTCTTATCATTATCCTTATCCACGTACTCTGCTCTTGATACAATACTTGATGTACTGTCACACATCACCATGACTAGTACAGGGTGCAGTGGGTAGTAAGATTTTAAATTGTCAATTGTTCGTACAATAATAATAATAATTATTATAATCATACTTATTGTGGTGCTGAATACTTTTGTGTAAAGCTTTGGAATTTTATCTGGATGCTGAAGTGTAAGAGTGAAGATATAGGTATCATAAGGAAGGTATTATTTCACTCTTTATCTC